AAAGAGACGTTCGAAGGGTAGCAGCGGCCAAGAGAAGGTAGCAAAGCGATCTGGCAGGAAGAAGGGGAAAGAGCTTGTCCAAGGAGCCGAGAACGCCAAGGCAAATGAAGCAAGAAAGCCAAACGCCAGGTCCAGAAGGAAAGCATCCGCAAGTCAAGGGTCTCCCATGAGCGAAGCTCCTGCTGCAGATAGGAAGAGGCAGGCATCTGCTCGGAGAAGCACAGGTTAGAATGCTGCACAGGCTCCAACATAAGCATGGGAGGGGGATAGGCCCAGATGGCTTATGCTGGTCAAGGTCAGTCTGGCATTTTTTCAAAAGTGGAATAAAAGAGCTAGTGTTCTGCAGGGAAAGGGAAGCCCCATCCACCACCCACGCTCTGTAGGATTGTTGGCCAGGCACTGGAGTTAGAAACTCTGAAGCTAATTCTCTGTGCACATGTTGTGTGACCAAATCACTGACCGTAGGCATGGTGGGTCCACAGCAAGTAATTCCTTAATGGACACCAGGATAGTCTGCTCAAGGCAGGGTGCGTACTGAGAGAGAGAAGGGTTAATTGTGAGGTGATGAGGATGGCTCTGAGGACCCCAGCTGCAGTAGAGGGGAGGAAGGAGAGGATCTGGCCAGGACTGAGATCTGAGTTCTATTAGGAGGAAATTGGCACTCCCCCCAGCACCCCCAGGATTCTCAGGCAGCAGAGGTAGCTTCCTGCCCCCTTCAATCTTCCCGTGGGAGAAAGTGAATTTCCCTTGCTGCAGGGAACAGGGAAGTTGACTGTCAAACTTTGCCCTCTCACTGCTCTGACTTTCTCCCCTGTCTTTTTAGGAGCAGCTACTGCTGCCCCAAGATCCAGGCGGGTGAAGGCTGAATGACTGGTCTGGCACAGCATCTGTCCTCGCTCCAGCCTGGGGTAACTCAAATGGGAACTCGCTTGCTACTGCTGCATGTGCTGAGGGAGATGCACTGGGAGCAGCTGCTGGGGTGACTTCTCTCAAGCGGGCGTGCCCACTGCATTGTTTCTTAGATCCTTCCTCAGAGGGGCTTGCTGCAGGGGCTCTAAGCAGCTGACGCAAGAGCCATGTCCCATGAAATGGAGAAGGTGATGCCGTGGCGTCAGCCTCCCTGCTCGGTTACGGGGTTTTATTCCTTTTTAAATGCGGCTCCAGAGCACCGCAATTGGGTGACTTTGTATCGAACCCCTTGGAAGTTGCCGGGGCACCCGCTGGTGATTGCAGCTGAGAGCTGGCGGCTCTGGGCAGGGAGGTGGGAAACACACCGAGTAGGGGAAGTCTGAGGTTGAAACAGTTTCCTGAGGGTCAGGTTAAAAGTCCTCGGAAGACCCTAGCTCTTCATTCCCTCTCCCTGCTCTCAGTTGTCCTTTGCAGTCTCCCTGCCCGCTGCCACGAGATGGCTCTGGCTTCAGAGGCTGTGTTTGGCCCAAGTTAGTGAGGACAGAGCGGA